AAACCCCACCCACATTATTCATTGTGTCTAATGTGAGGAACACCCTATTGCATAGGGTTGTCGGATGTATGTCATCCTAGACGCCCTTGGGGAGGCCTGTATTCAAAAGCAGGGAGCCTCTGAGCCAACTCTCCCAAGCTCTCTCACCCTCAGCACTATTGACATTCTGGGCGGATGACTTTTTGTGGGGGGCTGTTTTGGAGGTTGCAGGATGTTTGGCAATACCCCTGGCCTCCACCCATGAGATGCCACCAGCACCCTCTCTCCCACTGTAACAACCAAACTTGTCTCCAGATATTGCCAAATGTCCCCTTTTTGTTCTCAAAAACTGTTCCCCTTTGAGAACCATTGCTCTAGACCTTATCCTTCCTCTCTAGGCCATGTGGATGGACTTTTCTTCTTTAAGAATTTGTCCAAAGCAACTGTCACAATCCAAACCACTAAGCACTTACCAGGTGACACGAACTGCTTTCAGACAAAAGCCATACCAGCCCCCGGCAATTGCAGAGCTCCGTGGGGGACTTTTGGGGTTCCTGGAGCAGCTTCTCTTTTTTCATGGCAGAAAGGATCTGCCAGGAAGAAGGATGGAAGGGCTCTCAGGGGGTAGGGCCAGGCCCAGGAGAGCCAGCGTCAGGACTTGACAATGCTTTCAGGGTGACTAATGATTCCAGTTTGCTGGGACTTTCCTCGAGGTAGCACTGCAAGTCCTGTGTTCAGGGAAACCCCCAAGCTTAGGACGAACCTAGATGGTAGGTCACCAGGTTGTTTCTTTCTTAGGCTGCTGTTAAAAATGGCTTTGGCAGCTTGGTGGTCCATTTGAGTTTGAGATACAGATGTCTCCCAATTTCCAGCAAGAAAAGAGGGGGCTTGAGCCACCTTCTTACTGGGCTTTAGGAAGCAGCAGACATCCCAGGCTTGTTGCTGCTGCAATTGCTTCTCTCTTTTGGGAAGTCAGGGAGTTGCTAAGAGGTGAGATTAGGTGAGCTTCCAAATAAGAACAGGGATGGGAATCAGGTCTTGAGCTCTTGCTGAAACCAGGGTCTGTCCATGGTGAGACGCGGGGTAGTTTCTGGGGCACCCAGATCTGCCAACTGCATGTGGGTTTGTGTGCGGCCAACACTGGCAAGGTGTTCTGCTGGCTGTCACAGGTGAGGATGCCGATCTCTGTGGTCATGAGTCGTTGAGGAAGTGGTGGCAGAAACCCCTCGGGGCTTGTGGACGGCTGTGAGCACTTCAGATCTGGGGACCTGCCTGCTGTTTATGACCCAGAATGTTGCCTCTCGAGCCAAGGCTGTACATCCAGTCCCACTGGGAGCATATTTGCTTTTATAGCTTTCCTCCCCTGTGTTTGGTTTTCGTTTGGTGTAAATTTAAGCTTTTCTAGATTCCTTAAGTTTTAAAGGAAGACGCATAGTCATTCTTGAAGGAGAAACAATTGATTTCTTTCCTCCCTTAAATTATGTAGATGGAGATACGTCTGCACTTGGTTAGTCTCATGTCTACCAAGATGTCATTACTTATAGAAGAGCCTGGGATTTTCAAGAATAGTAACATGGTAATTTGTCTTTCAAATGCTGTTTTACTTATAGCAGCAATAACAGGAAATGTGCACTGTTTTTCAGTGTTATAATCTGATTCACCCTTTGATATAAACAGCTTTATCTCATCTCATTGTTTATATCACATTTCTATTCCTCTGGAAAGAACAATATTTTCCCCCTGAAAAGTAATATATTCTTGTCTAAGAATGGCTTAAATAAGTAACAGATGGTCCTATTTGTGTGTGTGTGTCCCCTACCCCCACTCATTCTCAGTATGTGATTGGACACTAAAATCAGTATTTTTTTAAAACATTGCATGGGCCTGAACGTATAGGTTTGTTTCAACTTGGGTTTTGATATTTATATGACGGCGGTGTTGCTTGAATCATTCTAAAATATAATATAGGCAATTGAATAAATTTATTTGCACTTTGTCAAGTGGAAGGTTCTTAAACAAATCTCTCTTCTGGTTCATAGTTACCCAGCATCGTCATGGGAAAAATAGGCTGGAACCCTGAGTGCCATGTCAACTTGGCCATAAAACAGGGCTCACTGTACCCTAGGCCCTTACCATGCAACCTATTTATAACTTAACTCTGATGCAAAAATTTGTTCTGAGACCCTTACTAGATCTTCCTTGTCAACATGAGGTTTCATTACTTAGCTTGGCTCAGGGCAAAGACATGAGAGTAAAGGCCTGGAGATGTCCATTGTTGCCTTGCTGGCTCGGTGAGTGAAGGCGGGTCCCGGGACCACCTCATGTCTCTTTCTCTATCCACAGAATGCAGATACCTTACCTGCCACAAGGGTTGTTGTGACTGAAACATGAAGTAATAAATATGAAGATATTTTAAAAAGTCAAATACACCTTAAGCTCAAGGTGTCACTTTTTTAGATAGTTAATTTATATGTTGTAAAAAGACTCTTATCTGTAACGTTGACAGGTTAGCACTGTTGTTAAATGGACTTTCTTTCAAAGATATCTTTTCTTTGCAATAAGCTTCAGGGAAAGAAACACAAATATATCTAAGGTCACCACGACCTTCTGCAAACTGTCACCCTGGGACAGGGATCAAGGCTAATTCATTTCTGCGCTTGTACTCCACAATCCTAGAGCCTAGTAGGCATGTAAAGGTATATAGATATTGCTCCGTATAAGCTAGTCTAACATACTTTACGAAAATCTTTTGAGTGTGAAGGTGATACAATTTTGTACTCCCTGTTTATGCATTTTTGTCATTATTGACATTCTTTTACCCCTATGAGATAGAACAGTGAGGCCATGATTCCTTGTGTTGATATCTTCTTTGTCTGCTTGTTTTTGTGCTCTGAAAATAACATTTTTTTTCATGCCATTACAAAGTTTATACAAGAGCATCTTAGAAAAGGTAAAAAAATAAAGACATACAAAAAATATATAACCACCCATTATTCCACAGGTATCCTAGGGACAGATAACATATATTGGTAGTGTATTAACAAAGCAAGCCACATAATATTTATATATGATAGCAATTACATAAGGGAAATATATGTATGTGTATATACATATGTGGGTGTAGCTGTACCTGTACACATTTATTTATGTATATGAATAAAAATAAGGTTAGACAGGGAACATTTACATGCACAGATCGTGTCTGGAGAGAAAGGGGACAGGAGGAATTCAGAGAGAGAAATCCCTCTGGGCAGGAATGTTTGGACATTTTATGGATGAGGTTGGATTTGAGCTGAGCCTTGAAGGACAGGTACAATTTTGACAAGGAGAGACGATTGGGAAACATATTCTTGGTGAAGAACAGCATATGAACAAAGGTGTGGGATGAGGGGCTAGTGGCAGTGATGGCAAACCTATGACATGCGTGTTAGAGGTGACACGCGAATTCAATTTTTTTGGTTGATTTTTCTTTGTTAAAAGGCATTTAAACATATAAAATAAAATAACATATAAAAAATATAAGTCTTTGTTTTACTATGGTTGCAAATATCAAAAAATCTCTATATGTGACATGGCACCAGAGTTAAGTTAGGGTTTTTCAAAATGCTGACACACCGAGCTCAAAAGGTTCGCCATCACTGGGTTAGTGGGGTGGGTTTAGGGTGCATGAGAAGTCTGATCGCTCACTACTCTGTAGAAAGGTGAGAGAGACCCTTGGACTGGGGAGACGGTGGAGGGATGTGAATGCCAGTTTGAGGCATTAAAAGCTTTAAAAAAGGAGAGTGAAATGAAAAGCTAAGATTTATTGAAGGTCAGTCAGGTGGTGTTTGGGTAGAATGAATTGGAGAGAGAAGAGATGAGAGACAGTGAGATAGTTAGAAAAGAGCTTTGATAATCCAGGTATGAAATGACTGATCGCTGGAGGAAGACAACGTTCCTGAAAATGTATGAAATGGACAGAGGTAGACGACATTCTCAAGAAGTCGCAGGACTTGGTGCCTAGTAAGATCTGAGCGCATAGGAGAAGAGATAATAGCTATAAAAATAAAGATAATAGCTATAAAGTTTAAAAGCCTAAGTGATGGTTTGGAATGATGGTAATATTGACAGAAGTAGGGAAAACAGATACAGTGTTATATATTTTTTTAAAAAATTACGAAATACTTTTTACTGGAACAATCTAAAGTTCAGGAGTTTGTATATGGCTTAAATAGTCCAGCGTTTAGACTGCTGGTTCTTGGAAGTGTGATATAAAATGCTGAAATGTGGTATGTTGCTGCAAATTAGGTTTATTGATTGGGTATTGTCAAGAGATAAAACACCTCAAAAATAGGCAGGCTAGCGAAAAAGATACCCCACCGGCACGTGCAGTTGCCACTATATAATTTTCTAGCAGGGAAATACACAGTCTTGTTGATGCCGGTACAAATTATAGCAAAAGCAACTTTTCCTTTTTCGAAGCTCATTGTATGCGAAACATATGTCCATCCTCCAGCCCCACCCCTGCCCTGCATATTTACAGTGCATTTGATGGCTCTGACTGGGGAGGAACAGATAATCCCCTTTCTTTTGTCAATGGGGCTTCACAGGTACACGCTAAGATCTTGATTTATTTTTCACTGAGGAAAGGGGATAATACCTAGAGGCTGTGATTTGAGGGCCCAGGACAAAAGGGCAGCACCAGGGAGAGTGAGTCAGGGATGACCGAGAGGCGATCTGGAAATGTATTTATTGGCTTCCTGGCGTGCTTGTAACTTATATTGCTCATGGTTCAATATAGTCTTCAGATGAGCACAGCTGTCCTTTCATGGCAGGAGTTGTGTTTGAGAATCTGGTGGGACTCTGTGGTTTTTCGTGGAATTTATGCTGTTCGTGGCCTCATATTTTTCCATCATTTATTTAGCTGGGATTGCATTGCAAAATAATTCCCATTGATTCAATTAATATATACCCTGAAAAAGATACAAATGTAACATTTTTAACTACCAAGTTTCCTTATAAAATATCTTAATAAAACCATATGTTAGCACGGTTATAGCCACAATGAGAACTACCATATTTTTATGGTAAAAAAAAAACTAATGTGTTTGCTACTCTTACCATCTTTGCTTGAACACATTTACTGGCCCTTTAAGAATTATGTTTTAAAATTATTGAGGCAAGTCACTTCCCAATCTTTTGGTATTAACTAGAGAGTATTTCTGGCATTGAGAGTAGAGGTAGGCAAGAAAGACATCTCCATTTTTCAGTGAAATTGGCTGTTTTCTTTGTGCTTGCATTATTTTAGCAGTTGCCAAAAGTGTGGGGTTTGTTAACCAGTTTTGTTATGTCATTTATACATGATGGTAATTTTACAAAGCTTTACCTTAAAAAAAAAGCCATAATTGACAATCATAAAACCACAGTATGGACATTGGATAAGAAACAAAAGTTGGTCTGAGCCCTGAGCTCTCTGGCTGCTGTGACGGATTGGCTGGGACTCCTTTGCTCTGAGCCCGAGGATAGGCACATCTCCAACTCAAAGCCCGCTCCTAGCAGAGCGTCTGTCATCCCTATAAACCCAAACTCTCCCTTTGCAGTTATTTTTGTTTCTCTATCAAGTTCATTATCCATTGGTGGCTTGAGGAAATACCGAAGTGAACACCGATTCTCCATGTAGAGACCGCTGGGGGTGCGTGTGGCTGTGTTGCAGCTATGTAGCTTGAGCCGCTGCGGTGTCAGCAGCAATATGGACCTTGGGCATCTGAGGGCGCTGCCCCTCTATCAGAAATTGTCCTCCTTGTTAGCGATTGTTCTTTTGCAGCCTGGGAGAGACCCGAGGAACCTCCGTGAGAGGGTGGTCCCTCAGGAGGCCACAGGCTACAATGGCTTGGAAGGGTGAACAAGAGGTCTCTGAATGACAGCTCTCAGTTCTCACACACACCCTCTTCTGGGGCCACTGTCCATATTCTTAAGGAAAAGACCCTGGGCTTTGGATGTCAGCCATAACAGATAGCCGTAGACCCTTACTATTTACTCACTGATATTCTACTGACCAGCTCATTTGCTTGTCTGGCCAAAGACATTCAAAGCAACATAGACATGGGTGCCTCAGAATTCAGACAACCAACTAACATGCAAAAGACTTTCCTAAATAAAAGCATCTCAAATGTGATGAGTACTGACAGTTAGTTACAGGGGGAAAAAAAGGTGTTTCCCCCCCATATTTTAAGGTTGTCATCTACCATTTGCTCAACTCTTTGAAAGATATTGGGACATTATGGTTCATATGCATTTCAATCTGTTATCATTGTTTACTTCTAGGAAAACATTTAGTCTAAAAGGATTAATAAACATTTGCTTTAATCACCCATTAAACCATTTAAAATACACAGGATTAAAATCTAGATTTGAAATATCTATTCTTAAAAGATAAACTCTAATTAATATAATTAATCTAAGATTCGAACCCAGAGTTATCAGGACTCATGGAATATCTATTTGGTATTCATAGTGATTTATCAGTAGTAGGATCACCATTAAATTCACTAATAGTTTTAGTTTTAGGCTACAAATTAAATGTGTTCAAAGTAATTAGGTATATAGCCTTTTCTTTTATTCATATTTCTTTATTGTTGATTATTAATTTTTTGTCCTAAGGATCCAAATAATAGCATCACTCATTTGCAATGCTTCCTTCCTTTAAATAAATGGTTTTCTAATATTATCTCAGACAACTTTCATTTCTTTTCCAAATAAACGCAGGGAAGTCTCCTGCTTCCTTAAACATTGAGAAGTGACTGTGTAATCTCTTAGAATGTTCTCTTTGGCCATCAACATACTAGCATCTTACTGTTAATCTTCCCTAAGAAAAATAAGTCTTTCCTCTTGAAAGCTTGGGACTCTAAAAATAACAACTATAAAGTGTTTTTATGTGGTGAATGCTCATCATAAATTATTTTTTTTCCTGAGTCCTACTGTGTCTCTTCTTGGAGAATGGGGAGTGTGTGTGTGGGGAGGGGGGAGAGGTTTGTACTGTGACCCACCCATCCACGACCCAGTCAGTTACACTAAGTTAGCACTTCCTAGGGAGATGTTACTAATTCTCTGTGAGGTGACTCAGTTACTAAGGCTATTCTTAAAAAAAAAAACACACACACACACACAACACAAAAAAATAAGCCTCTCATGGGAAATACACCCCCGCTGGGCTGAAGCAGGAAGAAAAAGCTCAACTCTGTTTAAAATCTGGACCCTTTGACCCGTGAACTTTCAGTCCTTTTCCTGAAGGCTTCTCCAAAAGCCATAATGACCGAGATGCAACTCCCACTGCAATGCATGAACACTAGCAGATGGAGGCTGATTTTCAAGAAGCTGGTCTATGATTATGCTATTACCAAGAAACAAAGACAAATTCTACTATGGGACATAAGGAAGTTTTGTATGATGGTGGTCTGTGATTCAACTATTTCCGTTCAAATTATTTGATTCTTTGAAATAGAATGCCTTTAGCAAGGACCTCCTTGCAAATAAAAGCTCATTGAAAACAAGAGAAGGGCTAATGCACAAACACACACCATAGAGTCATATGTAAACTGAGTTTTGTTTTGTTTTTCACTTACTACCCTTTATTTTTTCAGAGGCTATGAAATTCTATACCAAGTGATGAAATTGTCTCCAACCTGTAAAAAGGTCTATTGAATGGGCTTTCGAGAGCAGAGGTGACTACCATACTTGAGATACTGTACTAGGGCAAGAAGTATGCTTTCCTTTGTGATAAAAATTTTGTTTGCTTGGTCCATTGATATTATGTCTAACTAGAGGCCCGGTGCACAGAATTTGTGCAAGGGGCTCAGCCTTCGCAGCTGTGGGGGCTTGCCTTGGCCCTCGCAGCCCCGGCTTCGTCCGGAAGGTCATTTGGCTGCCCAGTCTAATTAGCATATTACTCTTTTATTATTATAGATGGTTACCTCTGTTTAAGTAGAGAAATATTCACTCTGTTATCTTGGCCTTACACTGACCCAGCATCCAGTCCGGGACTCCCTGGGAGAAGGTGGAAGCTCTTCTGGTACAAATAACATTCAAACCAGCTCTCTGATCAACAACAATATTAAGTTAACCAACTCCATTTGCTTATTTTGTGCTTCAGGTCCTGGAAACAATTGTACCCACATCAGAGGACAGATGTGCTCATAACTAGATGGCACAAAACACTGTGCTTGTAGTTGCTCTTGGAAAACATAACTGAATAAAGAGACATTTAAAATCTGACAGCAAACCTTGAAGTCATCAAAAAAGTCAACCAATCTGATTCAATGGGAAATTTAAATTTCATGTCAAAAAACTATCACAAAGTCAAAATACAAAAGAAAAACTGGAAACAAACATTGAAACATCATGGGGAACAATTACTATTTATGGCATGTAGAAAGGTTTTAAATGTCTGTAATAAAATACTCCAAAGAAAAATGGACAAATGATATGACCACGACCAGGTCATATCATTTTTTATTTCATTGAATAAAAAATAGGACTATCCAATATAAAATATGCTAAACCTCAGGAAATCCAAAATCGATACAAAGGACATATTTTGAGTTGGAAAGGCAATTATTAATGTTTAAATCTGATTATCCTCTACTGGGTGTTTGGGGAAACAATCACTCTCATATTATTGATATACACAAATTAGTATAAGACTTTTGACGAATCATTTGGCAATACTTATAATTTAAAATGTTCATAACTAGCCAATTCTAGGATCCAATAGAAGCTCTTGCATAACTGCATAAACAAGAATATACAAGTTGCAGAATTTTTTAAAAAAATATATTTTATTGAATTATTACAGAGAGGAAGGGAGAGGGATAGAGAGCTGGAAACATTGATGAGAGAGAAACATTGATCAGCTGCCTCCTGCACACCTCCTTCTGGGGATGTGCCCACAACCAAGGTACATTCCCTTGACCAGAATCGAACCTGGGACCCTCCAGTCCAAAGGCCAATGCTCTATCCACTAAGCCAAACCAGCCAGGGCCAGAATTTTTTTTTTTATAGTAGTAAAAAGAATCAACCCAAATATCTATTATTGCACAAATGAAGTATGTATGTATGTATAAGTGACAAGATGCATGATTATGGCCAAATCTCAATTATCTCCTTTCAAAGAACTGAGTATTACACACTGGGTGATTTGAGCAACTGTTCTGGAGGCTGGAAGTCTACCACCACAGTGTGGGTAGCACTGGTTCCCTCTGAAGGTCATGGGGAAAGGATGTGTTCCAGGCCTCTCTCTCTGGCTTGTAGTTGGCCACCTTCATGTTCCTATGGTGTTCTCCTATGTGTACATCTGCGTTCAAATGTCCCCCTTTTATAAGGACACCATTCTTATTAGATTAGAGCCCATCCTAATGACCTCATCTTAATTAATTATATGTGTAATAACAATTTCTAAAACAGGTCACATCCGGAGGTGTTGGGGGTTAGGACACAATATATGAATTTGGAAGGGGTTCGTTCAACCTACAGAAACCCTCATCCCTAGTTTCCCACTGTGATTTCACAATGTAAATTTGAGAAGTCCTGTGCTAAAGAAAATCACTGTCCCATGTATGGCAGACACTGTTAGATGCCCGCCCACTGTCTTCTGTTCTTTCTTCTTTTGGAAGAAAACTACACTTTGGTTCAGGAGGCTCATGTGCTTACAAATCCACACTCTCTTTAGCTGGAGGTGACCATATGACGTAATTTTGTCCAATGAGAAATAAGTGAAAGTTATTTGAGTAAAATTATCAGGAAAGCTTTTTTTATATTGATTAAAGTGACAAAATCCGCTAGCAAGAGCCATTTGTACCTCTTGATTCTGCTTGGAACATATTTTGATGCCTGAAAGTGGAACAGTCACCTTTAAGCATGAGGACCACAGCTTCCCTGTAAGGAGGAGAAAGGACAGTACCCGACTCACTGACTCACTGGTGAGCAGCTGGGCCAGCCTGGGACTGCTCGCCTCTGGATTTCACGTTACCTGAGGGAAATAACCTCCCATTGCTTACACTTGGGTAGTCATATCCTGTGGTAAGTCATTTCCTTGAATCAGTATACCTCTTTATAAAATATAGGGGCTGGGGTGGGTGTGGGGTGGGGAGGAAATCTACCCTAAATCCTCATAGGGTTAATGTGAGTGTAAAACTCCCTGATAGACATGAAAAGTTAATAACTCTTTTGCAATTACAGTTTAGATTCAATATTATTCAGTATGAGTTTCAGGTATACATCATAGTGATTAGACAATCATATACTTTTGAAGATAATACAAATATAAGGAATTGTTTTCCTCAATTTTATAAGCTTTTATTTCCAGTGGAAGATTAATAAATGTATGTGTCTTGAATTAAAATTACTTAGCCTGGTTGGACAAAGGTAAATTTAGTAAAATGTGCTAGTTTTTGAAAACATTTTAGACATATTGATGGAAATTCTATCGAATGGCAAAGAATGTAGAGAGAGGCCAATGTGACAGAGGAAAATTTCTGTCCTCACAGGTGTTACAGCCCAGAGATGGAGACAAGTGTAAATCAATGCATTGAACGATTAAAAAAATATGTGGAACAATTACTTATTCATGATTGTGGGAAATAAATTATATTTTACAATATCATTTCCCTGAAGACACTTGTGTGGAGTTGACTGACATACACAGACCCACAGTCACCCCAAAGGACCTACAGCTCCTTTGTGATAACACCTTAAAGATTCTGAAAAAACAGTGGGGAAGTGACTGAAGGAAATCTGGGATGGACCATGAAAATTTATAAATCAGCTTCCCTCCTCAGGAAGGATCCACATATTCTGAGAGAAATGCTTCAAAAAGTAACATATTTAATAACTTAGGTTTATTTCCAAATAGTCATAAACATATTAGAATAGCAGCCATATCTGAGCTGACTTTTGTTTCACCTCATGTTCTCCATATTCTGTAAATTTCTCTATGATCTTTTGAGATGTGGGCCCTAGTTGAAAACTCTGATGTTTCTTTAACCTGAGGTAAGTTAGTCTTATTTTCCTTGTGAGGGACTAGAATTGAAGTGTACATGATCAGGCGTGATGGGATTAAATAATTTAATGAATTACAGAAGTATTCTACTATTAAGGAACAGAGCTCATTCTTATAAATCATGAATTAATTTTTATGAATTAGGTCCAAAGAGCTTAAGTAAAACACAGCTAATATTTCATGAGTAATTCCAATCCTCTTTAATAGTACAAGTCTCTGGTGTGTAATATTTAGGTAATGATTATCATAAAATAGATATCTTTTGAGGGCAATTATGTGTTCTCAATACTTCTTTATGAGGGAGCTGGGAGGAGGATGTCATTACACTTGACAGTATATTTATCTCACCTAATATTCATAATATTCTGTTAGAAGAGCGTTTACCTTGCTATATCGGAGCGATTTTCTGGAAGCACTGAATACTGATTCGGTGCCACTAAATCTGTCCAGACACAAAAGGTGGTACACTCCTGCCCCTGAGTATCACCTGTTTCTTGGCACCCAGAGTTGGTGGTTTTGTTTGTGAAAACAAGAGTATATCCATGGGACGCCCCCCCTTTTTTCCCCCCAAGAGTAGGTGGCCAGCTGAGGAGAAGACAGGACTCAGGGAGATGAGCTGAAAAGGAAGCAGATGTACCTGGGCTGTGTCTAGGAAGTGACAAATGCATTTGGAGAGAAAAGTGAGGATTTGAGGTCTGGTTTTTAAAGGAAATAGGAATGAACTTAGAAAGTCCCCTGGGAGAGGCAGTAAGCTGAACATGCCCACAGGTTTTTGTTTGTCCTTTTGCTTTTGTTTTAGGATGAATGTTAACATGGAGGAAGTGATATGAAAATGTTATCAGGTTTTTGCAATCATTTTAAAATATCTTATTTGAATCTCCTAATATTCTGATGGGCTATTGTTCTTTATTTATAGGATGGGAAGCCAAATGTGTGATCCAGTTAGTACATCGCGAAACTAGAATCCAGGCCTCCCGCCCCCAAAGACCTCCAAAATCATGAATCTATCATCCCCTGCCAGGACCAGATCTGTTATCCCACAGGCTCAGGCATCAGCTCCCATCCTAAGTCCTAGGCGTTGTTGTTCCTAAGCTACCCATGTCTCAAAGCCTGAGGGGTTTGTGCATAAAAATTATAGGGTCATTTCATGGCTTGAAAATATTATGGTTTCTGCTAATGAACCTATAAAATCAATTATCCAGTATGAAAAAAAAGGGAATGGGAGAAGAGAAATGGGTCAATGGGTCTTTTGTTTTGCTTTGTCTTTTGTTTTGTTTTTTACAGATTAGAAAAGAAGACCTGTAAAAAGAATCTGGAAAGCCGAATACTTGATTGTTTTAATCTCCCTCGTAGTTCTGGTCCAATGAAATGTAGGAGTACAGCTTTGGGGAGAACCGTCTTCCCTGATAAACAGTGGAAGCCCTAAGAAAAGAAAGTCCTTCATCCTTGCACTTTCTACGTATCAGCATTTGGACTTGCTAGCTGGAGATGCAGCAGCCCTCTTGTGATCCGGAAGCAACAGTCACTAGGAAAAGTCAAGCTGCTGAAACAAGGCCATTGACCACGGAAGCAGCCGGTCTAAGTCTGCTGCTTGAGGTTCAGTTAAGCAGGTATTCCATTCTTAACAGTACAAAGTTATTCCCAAAGCATCTATCATTTAGAAAGTGATATGCCAGGTAAGAGGGAAGAAATATTTAATAAATTGACCATACTTCAAAGAGGCACTTAGTTTAAATACTTTTCTTAACTCGAAAAAGTTGCCCAAACTTCACCTCTTTTTTTCTTCTGTTTTAGATTCAAGCAGATTTAATCATTTCTTAGTACTTTCTCTGTAACTATATTCCTATCAATTGTTAGTATTGTGTCTCATTTAGCATTTGAACCAAAAGGCACATCTGCTTCCAGACATTAAAGATGGACTCTTACTCTCACCCAGATTAAATTGCATGTTTTCTTATTCCTTCTGTATATTAAACATCCCGTCAACAGGGAAGATTCCATTTCATGGATTTTTTCCCCAGAGCCCTTCCTCCTAAAGTCCCAACTCCCTATTCCTGGGATTTCCTAAGAATATTTCATGGAGGATCTGGGGCAGTCTTTTGTGCACCTATACTTCCCCTCCACTCCATTGGAATAACGCAAATGCCTGTGTTGAAATGAAGCTGTACCTACTAACAGTGGTTCTCAACCTTCCTAATGCCGCGACCCTTTAATACAGTTCCTCATGTTGTGGTGACCCCCAACCATAAAATTATTTTCGTTGCTACTTCATAACTGTAATGTTGCTACTGCTATGAATCGTCATGTAAATATCTGATATGCAGGATGCATTTTCAGGGTCGCAACCCACAGGTTGAGGCAAGCTCCTAACCTGCGGGCGACCCCTCCCTCCTACATTGCTGGCATGTGGCTGTGGGTGTGGGGTGGGATGGTGCTGCGTTGGGTGGGAAGTCTACCTTCTGTGAACTGCCTTGGCTGTCTCCCAGGCTCTTGACCTGTGCCATGCTCCCTGGAGATGGGGCCACAATCGGCCAGCATTTCAAGCATAAGTGGGGAGCTATCCTTTGCCACGTGTGTTGGGACCTAGATGTCATTGGAAACAAAAAAATATGCAAGTAGGAAAGAGAAAATCAGATAAGGACTTACAGTGATTTTTAAAGCAATGGTGTCACTTGACTACAGCAACCCTGTTGCTCTGCCCCAGGAGCTCACTAACTCTTCCTCCTTCCTTCAAGCACATTCCTTGGTATGGGGGCAGCATCCTGGCAGGGGGAGGGGGGGTGGTGGTGGGAGAGGGTGGTGAGCAGCCCAGGCCCAACAGGTGACTATGGCCCTGCCTGTGATGGACAATAGCTCAGCCTAAGCTGGAAGTGTAGTGAAGGAGAACCCAGGGAAGTCAGCTTGGAGGTCCGGGAGACTCCCTTGCAGATATAAGTTCCTGAGGGAGAGATGGCATCTTCTCCTACAGCATCTTATGTTGTGTAGACATTCCCTCTGGGATGGGGAAGTGCTGGAGACAGGTATATTTGACACATGTAGCAGATTTGTGTTTTTGTTTTAATATATTTTTTGTTGATTTCAGAGAGGAAGGTAGAGCAAGAGAGAGATAGAAACATCAATGATGAGAGCGAATCATTGATTGACTGCGTCCTGCATGTCCCCCAGTGGAAATTGAGCATGCATGTGCCCTAACCAGGATCAAACTGTGACCCCCTGGTTCACAGATGGACACTCACCTATTGAGCCACCATGGCCCAGTAGCAGATACATTTTTAATTTCTCCTCCCCATTTTAAAAATTTTTTCTGCTATAATCATGTAATCACTTATAATCAAG